ACTGGTGGTTTTAGTGGGTTTACAACATTGATTCGACAAAGCAACCCCTCCCTCATTTCTATCAAGCAAGGTCCATGCTCACTCTCGAAGAGGCCGGGTTGAAGATAAAGGGCAATATTCCCGGATCCACCATGGTTGCTCGGGATGTTGTTGACTTAGAACTATTTTCGGACGTTTCACCTTCTCTCGCCCTTCCTTCTACAACACCCAATTCGCAGTAAAGAGAAAAATCATGGGGGTCATACTTCTGGTGGTCGCCTAAATGGGAAAGGAAAAATTTGTGGTGGTTAGCATGCAAGTGGTCTATAGGGGGTTCAAACTCCACATCTCCTCCACCATAGACACAACCTTTGGGTGTTGGAACCAAACAACATTGGGGTTGGAACTGGACTTGGGAAATAACCCCATGTCCTTACCCCTCCACTCCCACTCACAATTGGGTTAGGCCCAATTTTAATCCATCCAAGCAGTAGTTGGGTATTTTTAGGTCGAAGTTGTACCAAGCATATTTGCAACCGCACCTCCTTCTCCAACCAACATTGAGGTTGCAATGCATACACTTAGCCTTAATCCTTCACCCCAACGCTAATTGGTACATGGATACCGATACCATATCTCACATGACATCCACGACAAGTAACATCACATTTTATTTCAATTCGAGCAATACTAACGTTATACTTGTCGGTAATGGCCATCCAATTCACGTTCGTGGTTTCGGGTATACACACTTATCTCCACCGCACCCCCATTGTTTTTTAAAAATTTCATCCATGCCCCTTGTTTGATTAAGAAACGAGTCTCTATTAGACATTTTACTAATGATAACTTCGTTACTGTTGAATTTGATCCTTTTGGCTTTTCTCTAAAGGATTTTCAGACGGGGATGCGTCTAATGAAATGTGAAAGTCGAGGCTAATTTTATCCTATCAAAATTTGTATCCAGTTTGGTCATGCCATCCACTTTGGCTGCCATCGTTCTCGTTCTTTGGCATGCATGCTTAGGACATCTGAGGACGAATGTTTTTAGTTCGCCTGGGGAACACAACTTAATAAAGTATAATCCACTTCTTGATTCACACCTGTGTTAGGCATGTTCTCATGGGAAACATATTACGTTACCTTTTGTTGCTTCACATTCTTACACATTAATGCCATTCGATATTATTCATACCGACTTATGGACCTCTCTGGTTGTAAGCTCTTCGAGCTCTCAATATTATACGCTTTTATTGAATGACGATTTAAATTTTTTTATAGACATTTCCATAGAATAGAAAATCTGATGTTTATTCCACATTTCTAAAGTTTTATGCGTTTGTATGTACTCAATTTGAAAGAGACATAAAAATTGTACAATGTATTAATGAGACGAAATATGATAATCAAAAATCTCGAGACTTCTGTAACACTAATGAGTTATCATTTCGTTTTATTGTCCTTACAATTCCTCTCAAAATGTGAAGGCCGAGCATAACATCCGTACTATCAACAATATTGTTCATACCTTACAAGCCAATGCTTCTCTCCTGTCGTCTTTTTGGTACCATGCACTATAAATGGCAACATATCTTTTTAATATTCTCCCAATCAAGACTATAACCTATCAGTCTCCTCTAACAATTCCATTTAAAAAACAACCTACTTATTCTCACCTAAAGGTGTTTGGTTGTTTGAGACCCCCTATTTCCTTCCACCATCAACAACAAACTTCAAGCACGCTCCACTCCTTGTGTCTTCTTAGGCTATCCATGAAAACAACATGGATACAAATGCTATGATTTGGCCTCCCGTAAAATAATCATTAACAGTCAAATGTTATTTGACGAAACACAATTCTCATTTTCCAAATTACACACACCCATAAGTCGCTCCTACGAGTTCCTCGATTATGGTTTAATCCCACACACCATCGGTCACTATACCCAACTGTCACACTCTTTGGGTCCTCTTTCCATTTATGTCTAGTCACCTTCAAGTCCTTAACATCCAAACTCATCATCCAGCCTTCCTTCACAACCTCCCGATCTGCTGTCTCATGCGTCTCCAGGATATCCAGGACCCTCACCCGGCTGTCCACCCATGATTTCATCAATCTCGACAACTTTTGAACACATCTACGCCTAGTCCCTTCCTTCACCATCTCGTCGTCCTGTTACGTAGAGTCAACATGGCATCTTTAAACCAAAATCACAGTTTAATCTTCATACCAACATTACTAAATCTTCTCTACATGTTAACCCTGTGATGGCCCTTGCTGACAAGAATTGTAAGATGGCTATAATTGATGAATATAATTTATTAAAAATAGGATGTCTGAATTGGTGCCCTATCCACCTAGGGTTAATATAATTTTTTCCATGTGGATTTTCTCTCATAAGGAAAAATCTAATGGTTCCTTTGAGCGGCGTAAAACTCGTCTTGTAGGTGATGGCAAAACTCAACATGTGGGCGTTGATTGTGGGAGACATTTCGTTCGGTTGTTAAATCATCAACGATCAGAATAGTTCTTGGCCTTATCTAAAGTTTGGCCAATTCATCATCTCAAAAAATTCTTTCTTACATAAAAACCTCAAAGAAATAATATATATGCACCAGTAATCGGGATTTTGTAATCGGGATTATTCGACTCATGTATTTCTGTTGAAGAAGTCTCTGTATGGACTTAAATAGACTTCGCGGGCATGGTACAAAGCTTTTATGGAAAATGTTTCTTCTCTTGGTTTCTCTCACAACATGTCAGACCATTTCCTTTTTATTTTTTGTCACGGGAATGATATGCTATCTGTTGTTATACGTTGATGACATTATCTTGACAACATCATGAGATATTTTTTGCATGTCCATTATTTCTCTTTTAAGTTCAAAATTTTCTATGAAGGATTTTGGTCCTCTAAATTATTTCTTGGGCATTTGCGTCACACATCATCCTGGGGGTTTATTCAATTTCAACGCAAATATGCCACTAAAACCATCCTTCGCTCAGCTTGAGACAAAGCCCATAATGAGTTCCAATGAGAGTCATCCGTACTTGAATCCCTCTCATTACCACAATCTAGCATGTGCTCTTCAATATCTTACATTTACGCGACCCAATATTTCTTATGCCGTCCAACAAGTGTGTCTGTTTATGCATGATCCCAGGGATAAACACATTAATCTCTCAGAAGAATTACCTGCTACATCCAGGGGACGCTTGACCATGGCCTCCATCTTTATTCCTCATCTACCTCCACTCTCTTCTCTTATATAAATGAAGATTGGGGTGGGTGTCCTGACAAACGACATTCGATCTCAGAATATTGTTTTTTTGCAATAATTTGGTTTCATGGTCGACTAAACATCATGCTGAGTTGTCTCATTCCAGCATCGAAGCTTAGTATCACGGAGCTGCGAACGTTGTCTTAGAATCATGTTGGTTATGAAACCTATTGCTTGAACTTCATTGTCTAATCCAAAATGCAACCTTGGTGTACTGTGACAATATTAGAGCAATCTATCTCTCCGAGAATCCAATTCAACATCAACACACAAAACATATTGAGTTGGATATTCATTTTGTTCGAGAAAAGGTGGCTCATGGCCAAGTCCATGTCCTCCACGTTCTGTCTCGCTACCAGATTGCCGACATCTCTACAAAGTGACTTCCTTTGGTATTATTTGAAGACTTTAGGAACAATCCCAATGTGTGTCCACCTCCCAGCTTTGACTGCGGGGGGAGTAATAGACACATAGTTGTAAATATTCTTTATTTATGTTTTTACCATAAATAGGTGTTAAATTAATGATTACTGATAGCTAGAATCATGCTACCTTGTTATTATATATAGGTTGTAATTATCAGTAAAAGGCAAGAAATCAAATTCTTCCACTATGACTCATCATTCTCATCTACCTTGTTTTAATAACACCTTTTATGCCTATAATAGGTATGGCTACTAGGAAAAGGTAAGTCGCATACATTATTCTTAGTAAATTGATGTAACTCCCTTTACATTGCTATAATTTAATCCTCATCCACTACTAGAAAAAAGTTTGTCTTTAATTCCATCTAAAAGTTACTGTCGGTGAAATCTTGGTCGGAAAAGCATTTCCGACAGAGTTAAAACTTCTGGTGGTAATCTGTCGGTGTTTGTGTTCATGACTAGTGAGTAATCACAAAAATATTGTGTTTGTGTTCATGACTAGTGAGTAATCACAAAAATATTGTGTTTGTGTTCATGACTAGTGAGTAATCACAAAAATATTTTGTTTTCATCATCATTGAAACTTTGATTTTTAGTAGTGTATTCTAGCCCCTCTTTGTGATTTTTGCAACTCTATGGTTGAGAAAATTGCATGAAAAGCACCATAGTTATCAATTTTAGATCATATGGTTCTATAACTTGATCTTATTATGATTTGATATATGGTATGACTTCTCATTGTTCTAATTAAGGTTAGACGAGAGTTGGATTTTACATGTTGGAGTTGAATCAATGATTTGCTCATTATGGTTTGAGTAGATTGTAAGTTTAATTGTCCTATTGATAACTTATTCTTTACACAAATTATCATCCACTGAAAGGTGCATTAGGTTTAGAAGGGCTTCATCAAAACTAACAATTAAGAATCTCTCAATAACCATAGTAAAACTGTTTAAAACTCTATACAGTTGTATTTTCACTAAAAAATAGAGATTATACGACCAAAGTGTAATCTCACAACTAAGCAAACTATCTATCGACAATGTGATGCTCTCACTCACTAGAATGCTATCAAAATGTTTCTAAGGCTGTGTTTGATATATGGACTCGACAAGACAAGACATAAGAAAAATCATTGTTCCATGTTTGGCACAACATGAGACATGGAGAAAACCCATTACTCTATGTTTGGCTTAGATTTACTTTTCTTTACTAAGTAGAAACCCCAAAGCAGTAACATAATGCATTGTATGCTCTATATTAAGGTAAAGCAATATGATCAATTACAAGTAATCATATTTGTGACTATTTCAGATTCCTGTGACAAACGTCTTGCTTATTGATAATGACGTTCCTAAGGCAGTTGTAGCTTATGTCAGGGAAAATAAAATCGAAAATCTAGTGCTTGGTGCCTCGACAAGAAGTGGTATAGCAAGGTTCCCCTCTGATCTCTCAATCTCTCTCACACACACCGATAGCACCACACATGCACATACACTAAGTTATTATTAATGTAAAGTTGTTACAGGAAGTTCAAGAGCTCTCATGTGCCATACACGATAATGAAACGTGTCCCAGATTTTTGTTCCGTGCTTGTGATTTCAAAAGGGAAGGTTGTAGAAAGGCGGTTAGCAACACGAACTCTAGTCAATCTTTCAGCTCCGCCTAAGTTATCAACATCTTCTAATCTAGAAGAAGACAGGTACATATAAAAAATGCAACTCTATGGGTTAATGTCCTCTGATAGTAGAAATGAAAATAAATGGGAAACATGTTTCTTTCATACTTATCAAATTGTGCTGCAAGCTGAAAGCCACAAAATCATTGCTCTAAAATTTTCAAGATACATGCAATTTGCATCATTCATCTTTTCCATGAAATCTGCATCATCCATCTGTTCCATGGAATCTGCATCATTAATCTGCTGCATGCTAAGGGAACTAAAAAAAGTAGGCACATGTAATTGCTCTCTAGCTATAAGTTCCCTTCCATCTGATACTTTAAAAACATTGTTGTCATATGTCTAATAATGTTTCACGAGTTGGTAATTTTTCCATAGAGAAGGTTTGAAAGTTATATCTTAATGAATTAGCTTGCAGCAACAGATCGGTTAAACATGTTTTGAAGATTGAGATTATGTTATAATTGAAGTTTCAAATTTCCATTTTCTGGGAGAACAGGCCAGCACCTATGAGCGGAGACCATAAAAATTCACCAAATACGAACAGGCCACAGAAAAGTACCGGCACAGTGTCAACCGAAAATATTGAACTTCCTAAAGGTGGGAAAAGTCCTAGTGCATTGCTAGGTGTAGAAATACCAGCTACTGTACCCTTTGGATCAATGGATCTCATAGGCCATGATTTGGATTTCAATTTGGCATCAAACTTTAATGAGAGTAGAAGTTCAACATCATCATCACCGGTAAGTACAGATTATAGGCCACAAAGAAAGAGCTTAACACTTTAAATATCTGGATGTTCTACTAAATTTAATAATTTGTAATTTCAGAGTGACATTGAAGCCGATATGAGAAGACTTAAACTTGAGCTAAAGCAAACCATGGAGATGTATAATGAAGCTTACAAAGAAGCAATTGCTGCCAAGAAGCAGGTAAGAGGCCATATGTTGTGTTTATAAATCCATTGATTGAGTGCTTGATTATGTTACTTATATACTAAATTCTCATCAAGTGGGTAATGAAGTCCATTAAGAAACATAATCAGAAGGGAGAGAGTAACTAAAGCACAAATACAATTAACATTGCATAGTTCCTAGAATGCAAGTTTTGGATGAACTTTATCTAATTCTTGTGTGGTGTTTTTGTTTTATATGGTTTCGGATCGTCTATAACCCTAGAAGATATTACCTGAGACTTCACATTGGAGTCTATGCAATGTTAATACTCTAAATTATACTCTAAATTATATAAACTACAATACTGTATACTTATTAAGGTAGACAAATAAGCGTATTGTTGTGTTTATTATTCAGGGATGACCTTGAATATACGAAGTCTAAATATGGAGTACAATATTCACCCATTGTCCATAACCAGATAAAAACAATAAACACAACCAAATTGTTGCCGATGGTGGATCCAGAGAAATTATCATTGGGGGAACCATATAGAATAAAATAGTAATTACCCCCCTCCCAAAATAAATATCTACAACTAAAAATGCACACAATTTTAGGAATTTCTATTTGTTACATTTTTTAATATCTAAGAGGACAATTTTACCCTTAAATATAGAGGGAGAAATGTTCTACATCTCATGATTAAGGTTATGATGTAGATCAGTTAGCCCAAAAGATCGACGAGCAACGAGACCAAGCAAAGCCACGACAACGAGCCGCACCTTGACCCACACCGGTTGAACCTTTGATTATTTTCAGATTTATTTCCTTTTCTTTGCTTTATCATTATTTAGTAATTATCTAGCTACCACAATTATCTAGCTACCATAGTTATTAGTTTCCTAGATTAACTATGCTTCTTAGCCTATTTAAACAATCCTTATCCTTGTTAGTTATTCATTCCATTATCAATTCAATAAAGCTTAGCCTTTTTTTCTAGAATTCTTACGAATTCTTGTTATTTTCCTAAACCATACGCTTGTAAGGTTTAATCCCTTTTCCGGGTTCCGACGATTGTCAACCCTTCCAGGTTTCCTACTGCGTCAGTTGGTATCAGAGCACGGAATCCCTATCTCTTTTTCAACCTAACGATGGGAGATAACTAGCCACTCACTCGAGCAGATCTTGAAGGTATCACCGCGGCCTTCAACACTCTCTCAACACTACTCTCACCACCCTCACTACCACCTTCACTGAATAAATCGGTGCCTTAATCGACGACTGGCGGAGAAGAGACAGGCACACTGATCGTTATCGGCCACCTCGTGGCGTCCAACCCCGTCCCACCGCCAATTCTAGTTCAGATTCCGAAGCTGAAGAAATAGCTAATCAACCACACAACGACCCCGACTACCGGATGAAAACCGACATCCCTTATTTCAACGGGAATGAAGGCGCGGAAGAATTCCTTGACTGGCAGATCGAGGTCAACAGGTTCTTCGATATCATGGAGATACCGGAGCACAAAAAAGTCAAGATGGTCGCTTTTCGCCTAAAAAGCACAACCGCTGTTTTGTGGGATAAGCTAACCACCCAACGACAGCGCCAACGAAAAGGTCCCATACGCTCTTGGAGGAGGATGAAGCAGTTGATGACTGAACGGTTCCTACCAGAGGATTACGAGCAGATCCTCTACTGAATATATCTGGATTGTTCACAAGGACCCAGGTCCGTGACCGAGTACACCACAAAATTTATACGTCTCTCAAACCGGAACGAGATCAGAGAAACAGATCGACAACGAGTCGCTCGTTACATCAACAGGCTGAAGGGTTCCCTACAAGAAAAAATTGGCCTTAAAACCGCATGGACCATAACCGAAACATCTAGTTTGGCGATGAAGGCCGAACTGATGGAAAAGTCTACCCGAACCGCCTCCTATCGAAGGTACTCTACTCAAACTCCTTTCGACACCTCTAGTTCCATCGCTAATAAAAGGAAGAGTGTAATAGCTAACCCTCGCGATCCTCCCAAAAATGCCACCCGCTCGAAACAAAATGGCCACGCCAAAACCCAACAACTCCTACGTCAAGCCCACCGGGCTCAAGTGCTATAGTTGTGGACAACCCGATCATCATTCCAACGAGTGCAGTAACCGGAGGACAGTCAGACTTGTAGAAGAAAAGGAAAACGACGATAAGGATGAGAACGAAGGAACGGAATTCACAGAGGAAGATTTCGAGGAAAAGGTGAGCATTGTACTCCAGCGAGTCCTACTATCACCGGAAGAGGGGCAACGGAAAAATATTTTCGTACCTACTGCTCCATCAACCGTAAAGTCTGTAACTTGATCGTAGACAACGGAAGCTATGAAAACTTGGTGCCCTAAAAGTTAGTAGATCATCTCGGTCTACCAACTTCACCACAATTCACCATACTCGCTCGGATGGGTAAAGAAAGGCCCTCAAATCCGCATCACCCAAGTATGTAAGGTTCCACACTCCATCGATAAACATTACAAGAAAGAAGTTTCTTGTGATGTCGTCGAGATGGACGCTTTCCATATTCTCTCGGTCGAGCATGGCAATACGACAACGATGTCACATATCGAGGAAGAGACAACGTCATGATCTTCCGATGGGGCGAACACAAGATCGCCATGGCAGCTGTTACTTCAACCACACCCCGAAAAAGAAAGGTGAGAACTTTCTGATCATCACCTCGAACGAGCATATTCTTGAAAAATCGTTCAAAGAAACCTAAGTTTGTACCCCGATCGTTGTAAAGGGCTTGAGCAACGTCGAAAGATTGGAGAGGGAATTTCGAAAGAAGTGAGCGGGATACTCAAGGACTTCAAAGAGCTCACCGTCGATGACTTACCACTTGAGCTACCTCCCATGAGGGAGATCCAGCACCAGATTGATCTGATTCCCGGTGCCAACCTACCGAACCTTCCTCACTACCGCATGAGCCCAAAAGAGAATGAGATCCTAAGCGAGCAAGTCGAAGATCTCCTACGAAAGGGTTTCATCTGTGAAAGCTTAAGCCCTTACGCCGTGCCCATTCTCTTGGTACCGAAGAACAACAATCAGTGGAGGATGTGCATCGAGCCGCACCATCAACAAAATTAACATCAAGTATCGGTTCCCGATCCCTCGCCTAGAGGATATGCTTGATGAGTTAGCCAGAGCTAAGTTGTTTTCGAAGATCAATCTCCGTAGCGGCTACTACCAAATCTGAATCTGACCAGGTGATGAATGGAAGACGACGTTCAAAACGCCTTTCGGTCTCAAATGGCTTGTCATGTCATTCGGCACCTCCAACGCTCCAAGAACCTTCATGAGAAAGATGAACCAAGTCCTCAAACCCTTCATTGGATCTTTTGTCATTGTGTATTTCGACGACATCCTCATCTACAGCCGTAGCAAGGAAGACCACTTAAAGCATCTCCATAAAGTTTTGTCCGTACTCCACGAAAGCAAACTTTATATCAACCTCAGGAAGTGCACTTTCTGCACCCACAAACTTCTGTTTTTGGTTTTCATTGTCGAAAGCCGGTATCGAAGTAGATGAAAAAAAGGCACCTGCGATTAAAGAATGGCGTATTCCCCAAAACGTCTCGGATGTCCGAAGCTTCCACGGTTTAGCAACCTTTTATTGAAGGTTTGTAAAAGATTTTAGTACAATCACCGCCCCTATTATTGAATGCTTGAAGAAAGGAAAATTTCAATAGGGACCCGATCAAGATCGCAATTTCATTGCAATAAAAGCCAAACTCATCGCCACGCCAGTACTTGCACTTCCCGATTTCGACAAGGTATTTGAAATGGAATGCAATGCCAGTGGAGTATGAGTCGGAGCGGTTTTATCGCAAGAAAAACGATCGATAGCGTTTTTCAGCGAGAAGTTAAGCAAGGCAAGAAAATTGGAGCACTTACGATCAAGAATTCTATGCTGTCTTTCGAGCTCTAAAATAGTGGGAGAACTATCTCATACAAAAGGAGTTCGTGCTATTCACCGACCACCAAGCCTTGAAGTTCATCAACAGTAAAAAGACTGTAAGTAAGATGCATGCACGATGGGTGAGCTATTTGCATAAGTTCCCCTTTGTGATCAAACACAAAGTGGGAGTCTTAAGCCGAGTAGCATATGTACTAAGTCGGAGAGCCACGCTAATGGTCACACTCTCCCAAGAAATTATCGATTTCGAAAGCTTAAAAGACCAATACGAGGAAGATGGCGACTTCAAAGAAACATGGTCCAAATGCGGGAAAGGCATACCGGTGGACGATTACTACCTCAACGATGGGTATCTCTTTAAAAGTAATCAATTGTGTATTCCTAACTCTTCTCCACGTGAAAAGTTGATTAGAGACTTACATGGAGGAGGCCTAAGTGGGCATCTTGGTCGAGACAAGCCGTCGCTAGCATAACAGAGCTATACCATTGGCCGCGTTTGAGGCGTGACATTAGCGCCATTGTTCGGAAATGTTACATCTGTCAAGTCGCCAAGGGCCAAAGTCAAAACACCGGCCTTTACTTGCCTCCGTCAGTTCCAGAAGATATATGGCAGGACTTATCCATGGATTTCGTCCTTGGATTACCCCGCACTCAAAGAGGAGTCAATTCAATCTTTGTCGTTGTGGATCGTTTCTCGAAGATGACAGACATCATTGCTTGCAAGAAAACCGTCGATGCAAGCAACATTGCCAAGTTGTTCTTCAAGGAAATTGTTCGCCATCACGGAGTTCCCATGACAATCACTTCCGATCGCGACACAAATTTCTTAAGACACTTTTGGGATTACATTGTGGAGAATGTTCGAAACATCACTTAACAAAAGTGGCACTCCTCATCCACAATCCGACGGCTAGACCGAGGTAACGAAATCGCACTTTAGGCAATATGCTCCAAAGCATCTGTGGAGACAAACCCAAACAATGGGACCTTGCCCTCCCACAGATTGAATTCGCTTATAATAGCGCAACCCACTCGGCGACCGGTTGCTCGCCGTTCTCTCTGGTTTACACTTCAGTTCCCAAACATATCGTTGACTTGATCAAACTTCCACGAATCCCGTGGACAAGTATTACAACAGAGAATATGGCAAAAGATGCGCACGCAATCAAAGAGAACGTGAAAGTTCGTCTTGAAGTAGTTGGAATGAAGAACAATGAGTTAGCCGACAAACACTTACAAAAGAAGATCTTTCAAGAAGGTGACGATGTGATGGTATTTCTCTAGAAAGAGCACTTCCCTAGGGGCACTTACGGAAAGATCCAACCAAAGAAGTATGACCCATTCCAAATCACCAGGAAGATTAATGACAACGCCTATGTTGTCGCTCTCCCTGACTCTTCCACATCTCCAACACCTTCAATGTGGCCGATCTGTACCCTTACCACGAAGATGATCCTATCTTACATGAGAACTCGGGGTCAATTTCTTTAAAAGTGGAGCAGACTGATGTAGATCAGTTAGCCCGAAAGATCGACAAGCAGCGAGACCAAGCAAAGCCATGATAGCGAGCCGCGCCTTAACCCACGCTGGTTGACCCTTTGATTATTTTCAGATTTATTTCCTTTTCTTTGCTTTGTCATTATTTAGTAATTATCTAGCTACCATAGTTATTAGTTTCCTAGATTAACCATGCTTCTTAGCCTATTTAAACAAGCCTTAGCCTTGTTAGTTGTTCATTCTATTATCAATTCAATAAAGCTTAGCCTTTTTTTCCAGAATTCTTACGAATTCTTGTTATTTTCCTAAACCCTATACTTGTAAGGTTTAACCCTTTTTCCGGGTTCCGACGATTGTCAACCCTTCTGCGTTTCCTACTACGTCAAGTTAGAATAGAGAAAGTACTAATATATAGGGAGAAAGTAGACATCACTTTTCAAAGTGGACATTAATTTTGGGACAAACTAAAATAATAATGTAAATACTTATTTTGTGACAGAGGGAGTAACTAAAAGATACGATTTCATTAAAAATAGTAAAAAAGTTGCCTTTTACAACTGTATTGTGTGTCTTTTCATCTTTTGGAATTGACTAATTAAATAATCATTTGTAACATTGAGAAGTGTTTCTATAGTACATATTAATGCAAACTCATCACATATTTTGTTGTGTACATTAGACTTCAAATGCTTCATGGCAAAAAAACATTTTTGGGCTGTTGAGGTAGTAACTGGCAAAACCAAAGTCAACTTCAATAACTAATATATTAGAGGGAAAATTTATATGCTTTTTTTGTTTCCACCATCAATCTAGCAAGCTCGGAAATACCACTCAGATTGACAATCTTTCATCTTGACGTACAATCACATAGTACATGTTAAGTTATTTATCTAGTGGATCATTTCCATACGATCAAAATTATAAGGATACAACTTACTCAACTTCAATAACTCTAATACGTTGAATTGAGACAACTCAAAGCTATTATATTTGTAAGCAATATTTTGCTTACCTCACTAAATCGATCCCCAAAGTCTTGAAGTTGAATGTCCACAACAATGTTGAAAATATCAAACACGTATAATGATTGGTGATGTTGGTCCTTTATCTTCCGTTTTTATAGCATTCTGCAATGTCAACAACTTAATACCATTTGCTTCACCTAAAGAATATATTTTATTCAAAAGTGAATCAAACCTACTTTCTCTGAACTTTTGCAATAGTTGTTAGATTCCTCTTACCAACGAAACCAATTCTATGATATCTTGATCATTTTTCAAAGAGCCCGAGATAATAAATCCTTGACCTCTAAAATATGAAACGTCAAGTGCAAATAAATCAAAAAATAGAATGCCTTCAAATAAGTTAGAATACCAATTGCTTAAGTGCAACTAAAACCATTATCGCCACCCTCTTCAACATATTGAAGCACTTCAACAACATTCAAGAACAAAGCAATCTAGCTCAACATGGTGTTGCAATGGGAAGCCCATCGTGTATCTCCAACTCATATAAGAGAAATCTTTTGCTGCAACTCGCTTCCAGTTTCAATTTCACTCTTAACAATTTCTTCTTGTACTTAGTTGTTGCAACCTCCAAGTCGATTCATATCAAATTATGCACTTAGTTGGCCCTTGACCTTGTAAACCTCTCCTATACTTTTAACTCCAAATGGCATGTCATCCACATACAAGAGCAAATAAAGCACCAACCCACATCATCATTCTTCTTGTAATAAGCCTAACTATCATACATGCACCTCTTCAAATTGTGCATGGTCACAGAAGCATTGAATCTCTTTCACCGTTGGTCGATGTTTTTTTTTTGTTATTTGTTAGTGATTAAAGTCCGACATTGGCTCCGGTTCATAGTTTTGTTCAATAGAGGGGATATTGGAGCAAACAACTTATGGATGCCTTGAATCTGATTATGATTTCGTGTGAGATTTTTGGATCAAGCAGGTGGAAGTTGTATTCTTGGTAGTTGTAGTGGTACCACGACAGAGGTTAAGTCTATGGTGAGGAAGGAGCAATAAGTGTTGATACATTTGATTGTTGATTCACTATTTATGCTTAGTTTCATATTAGAGTTAGATTTTAGTTCCCTTCCTAAGTCTTGCATTTTTATCATCAAAATATGGATGCTTGGGTTACGGCTTGTAAATGTTACAATTGTTGTAGCTCTGATCGCTACCATATGTGGACGTCGACTCGTCGAGTACCGACGAAAAAAATATTTCGGTTGTTTTATTGCTAAAAAATGCTCCCATAATGGATGGCGAGCTCAGATGGATCTATCATCATTTCTCATTTGTTTCCCAAATTTGATGATTTACAATTCATGCTCAAGATGTCATTGGAAAATTCTCCATGCTCATCTTGAGGGGGCTATTAGAGTATAAGGGCATAATAGTATTTTTCACTTCTTGGTTAGGTGAGTGCTACAGTAACATACATAGATACATACATATATATATATACATATATACATATATATATATATATATGTGTGTGTGTGTGTGATGTAAATCATTTGTTACACAAGTTAAACGAAAGTTTATTTTTCATTTCAATGATATCTAAGGATCGATATGCTCTTGATGTCTTCTTGAACTTCCAGATGATCTTTTCTGCCTCTAGTACTCCAAGTTGTTGGTGGACACTCTCAAGGTGATCAATATTATCAAGTTGTCCTTCAATCTAGACATTTAGAAAGGAACAATCTAGAATACAAGAAACCCTTTACAGATCTAGATATTTAGAAGGTGTAGAAATTGTCCATGTAATTAGTTGGTATTTCTAGCGGTCTTTTGATCAAACTAGCTCTATTGACAACTTTAAAAGTTTGAAAAAATATGCTTTAATGTGAATCATAATCTTTATAAAGTCTGATTTTAATGCATTAGAAAAATTTCAGGCATCAGAACTCCATCAGTTCCAAATGCAAGACGCTTGTAGGATTGAGCAAGCACGACTTTCTGAAGAGGAAGCTGCCAAGATTGTTGAGATGGAGAAGGCCAAGTGTAAAGCGGCCATGGAAGCTGCCGAGAAAGCAAAGAAGCTAGCTGAGATAGAAGCAAAGAGGAGAAAGCATGCAGAACTGATGGCTGAGAAAGCCAAAAAGCAATCGAATAACCATGTTTTTTACAGAAAGTACACTATTGAAGAAATTGAAGAGGCAACTAATAACTTTGAACCATTATTAAAGATCGGTGAAGGTGGATATGGTCCAGTCTTTAAAGGAAAACTTGATCATACCCCTGTTGCCATTAAAGTTCTTAGACCTGATGCTGCACAAGGGGAAAAACAATTCCAACAGGAGGTATGATGTTTTCTTCTATTCTTTTCCAAAGAATACTTGCTCTGTGCCATTATGGACATATATTTATCCTTATTTTTATCTTTTGACTAAATTGAATACATGGCATGAGAAAGTGATCACTGAAAGGAATACCCAGGGCATGAAAACGCATGTTTTGGTTCTTAGATGGGTTAAATTACATGTCACTTTTTTTGTCCTAATTCAGTAGTATTTAATAAGGCTCCATGGGAGGACCCAATGTAAATAATGTCTATCTACTTCTCTATCTCTTGTGTTTTTACAGAGTATCTTTCTGCCATGATTCAGGTTGAGATCCTATCTCGTTTGAGACATCCGAACCTGGTCCTCCTTCTAGGAGCTTGTCCGGAGTATGGATGTTTGGTCTATGAATTCATGAACTATGGAAGCTTGGAAGACCGTCTATTACGTAAAGGCAACAGCCCTTCTATACCGTGGGAAACTCGATTCAGGATTGCAGCTGATATTGGAACTGGGCTTCTGTTCCTTCACCAGGATAAGCCAGAGCCCCTTGTGCACCGTGACCTAAAGCCAGGAAACATTCTTTTAGATTGTAATTATGTTTGTAAAATTGCTGATATTGGATTAGCAAGACTAGTCCCACCTTCTGTAGCTGATAGTGTGACTCAATATTACATGACTTCAGCTGCGGGAACCTTTTGCTACATTGACCCCGAGTATCAACAAACAGGTATGTTAGGGGTTAAGTCTGATATATACGCATTAGGTGTAATTTTACTCCAAATTATCACTGCTAGGTCCCCAATGGGCCTAACACACCAAGTCGGGAGGGCTATTTCGAAAGGAACATTTGCAGATATGCTTGATCCAACGGTGCCAGACTGGCCTGTTGAAGAGGCGCTTAGATTTGCAAAGCTAGCACTCAAGTGTGCGGAGTTAAGAAAGAAAGACAGACCAGATCTTGGATCTTGTATTTTGCCAGAACTTGACAGAATTAAAGATTTGGGAATGAGTAGCAGATTAAGTAAAGATGACAATCATAGACCTGTGCCTCATTCTCGAGATCCAAGTCCAAGAGAGAGCTCACCTTATTCTTACCAGGTTAGCAACTTGTTCAGACGACTACATTTTCTGATGTTTTCTATGTTATTTACAACCAAATTAAATAACTTAAGGGTTAAATCTGTTTACCTATTATAATGCATGCATAGCTTGATTCTTGAATTCAATTCTCCCTAATCCATTCTCACGTATGCTGTTAACCTGCTCCTTTTTATCGAGCACCCGCGCCCCTACAAAATGAGATTTTTTTAGAAAACAACCATTAGGACAATTATTTAAAAAACACCCAACAAGAAAAAACCATTAAGAATATAGTTGAATTTACAATCAAATCATATTAGAAACACAAAATATATGTTGCAGAAGAGTGTTGTCACTAAATTGCAGGAAGATTACTGCAATTAAGGGCTGTCCCATTTGAGAAAAAAAACAATGCACACATACACAGAACAGAGGATTAATAATTCATCATGTCTATTGAAGTTCAACAATTTACATATATACAAGACACATTATAATAGTTAATAAGCTGTTATTTAACTACCCTTAACAGTTAATTATTACCCACTAACAGTTATTAAGTCTAGATTAATTATGCCACTTAACACTTCCCCTTAAGCTAGACTTGAACTACTCCCAGCTTCTCCTTCAACTTGTTAAAGTCACCGACTTTCAATGCCTTCGTAAATATGTCAGCTATCTGATCTCCAGTTTTGCAGAAACAAACTTCAACTTCGCCAAGCCTGACTAATTCCCGTATAAAGTGATATTTGATCCTCATATGCTTGCTTTTGCCGTGGAATACCGGATTCTTTGTGAGTACAATTGCTGATCTATTGTCACAGTATATCAATATAGGCTTCTCCTGTGGGTGCTTAAGTTCACTTAAGATTCCTGTCATCCATATCGCTTGACAACCTACAAAAGAAACACTCATGTATTCTGCCTCGGCTGTGGATAGGGCCACCACTTTTTGCTTCTTAGATTGCCAAGAAATAGCACCCGATCCCATGATGAAAACGTAACCAGATGTACTTCTGTTGTCATCCATGCTTCCTCCATAATCACTATCACCATATGCAATCAGTTTGGGATCGTTTACCTTTTGATACCGAATCCCGTGATCCGTCGTTCCTTTTACGTATCGTAATATCCTTTTACCGGCTTCCCAATGGCTTTGTCTTGGTGATTCCATAAACCTACTAATTAGACTCACAGCATAAGTAATATCGGGTCTAGTGGCCGATAAATACATTAGGCTTCCTACCAAGCTCCTAAACATGTCGAGTCTGTTATTTTCTTTTGGATCTTTCAATAATTTTAACCCAACTTCCATTGTTGTAGAGCTTGATCCAGCGTGCTCCATATTGAATCTTTTCAATATATCATGAGCATACTTCCTTTGTGATATGGTAATTTCCTCCTTGCCTTGCCTAACCTCGATACCAAGAAAATAGTGCAGTAACCCCATATCGGTCATCTCGAATTCAGATTTCATTGAACTTTTGAAGTCTTCTATCATAGTAGGACTGTTTCCCGTAAATATTAGATCGTCCACGTATAGGCAAACAATCAACAAATCACTCTTTTGTTCCTTGACGTAAAGTGTATGTTCGTAAGGACACTTCTTGAACTTGTTCTTCATAAAGTACTCGTCTATACGGCTGTACCAAGAACGCGGTGCTTGTTTTAGTCCGTATAGTGCCTTCTTCAATTTACATAATTTATTCTCTTCATTCTTTTTGATATATCCTTGAGGTTGTTCAATGTAGACTTCCTCGGTTAGGTACCCATTCTAAAATGCGGATTTAACATCCATTTGATGAATTTTCCAAGCATTTTGTGCCGCTAATGCAATAACCAGACGAATGGTTTCCAAACGTACCACCGGAGCAAACACCTCATTGTAGTCTACTCCAAACTTTTGTTTGTAGCTTTTTACAACCAAGCGTGCCTTATATTTCTCTAAATCTCCATTCTCCTTCAATTTTGTTTAATAGATCCACTTTACTCCAATAGGTTTATGACCATGTGGAAGAGTGACTAGATCCCATGTATTATTTTTCTGGATGGAATCAGTCTCTTGATCCATAGCTTTCTTCCACTTACTACTTTTCATGGCAACTTCAAATTCCACTGGATCCACATCAGCAAATAATTCGAAATCAACCAAATCTTCATGATCTATTCTTTGTGTATTTCAATAAAGATCATTTATACTCCTCATCTTTCTAGGTATTGATTCAGGAGAGTCAAGAGAAGACAACGATGATGATGATGATGCAAAAATAGGTGTTGTAGGTTCTGAATTTAAGGGACTTATCATGGAAGAAGGTACCAAATTTGTATCAACATCGGCCTCATTGTCTTGACATTGAGTGTCTCCTTGTACATCGCTAATTACTACAGAAGTTTCATCTTTGTTGCTGGAACAGTTCAACGCCTTTTCTTCAACAAAGATTATGTCCCTACTGATAACGAAGTTGCTGGTAATCGGATTGAATAATTTATATGCTTTGGCAACTTCACTGTAACCAATGAATATACACTTTTCAGATTTATCATCGATCTTACCACGTTTTTCTTTTGGAGTGTGTGACTAGGCAATACATCTGAAAACCCTCAAATGAGATACGCAAGGCTTGTATCCACTCCAAGCCTCTTGAGGAGTTATGTTTTTAATGCTTCTTGTGGTTGCACGATTTAGAATATAGATGGCACAGACAACTGCTTCTGCCCAGAACTTGTGTGGTAATCCCTTATTTTTTAACATACTTCTTACGAGTTCCATAATTGTCCCGTTTTTCCTCTCCGCGACGCCATTCTGTTGTGGCGTGTATCTCGTGGTTCGTTGGTGTCTTATTCCATTGTTTCTCAAAAAACTTTCAAAATAATGAGAGTTATACTCTCCCCCACCATCTGATCGTAACGTCATGATCTCATAATCGCTTTGTTTTTCAACCATTAATTTGAATGTTTTGAATACATCAAACACTTCAGACTTTTCTTTGAGGAAATATCCCCATGTTTTCCTGCTAAAGTCATCAATAAACGTAAGAATATAGCGGCTGCCACCAATCGATGCGGTTCTCATAGGCCTGCATACATCTGAATGTACGAGTTCGAGAGGTCTTGATGCCCTCCAGGCCTTGTCTCTTGGAAAAGAATCATGTGAATGTTTTCCTAATGTGAAGCCTTTACATATCTCATCAGTTTTGGTGGTGTTTGGCATCCCACGTACCATATGAGTGTTGCACATGTGTGATAAGGACCCAAAATTTAAATGTCCAAATCGTTGGTGCCATAGCCATGATTTATCAGATATAGACATATTAAATGAAGACAAAATGTCCTTGAACCTTAAAGGAAACATTTTATTTGAAGTCATACGTACCTTGTCAAGTGTATTACCTTCCACATCCTTGATTAGGCAAGCACCATCTATAAAGTGCACATCATATTTCTTCAATAAYAGTTGTCCAACACTCAGAAGATTGTGTTTAAGTGCTGGCACATAGTACACATTTGTTATCCTCTTAACCCCATTCTTTGTTTTT